AAAAAAAAAAAAAAAAAAAAAAAAAAAAAGCTGCACAGAAGCCCGCCTGTGCATCTTTTTGGTAAAACCCTGGGTTAAGCTGAGGCCCGGTCCAGCCGGACAGGGCCTGACGGACTGGGGGGGGTCCGCCCGGCAAAACCAGACGAGCCAAAAAACATCCCAGGAATTTTTTTTATTTTTTTTTTGAAGATGGGGTTGGAGTGCACTCGCTGAGAGGAGCCCAAATCCGCAGACAAACTTGTGAAAGGCATGTGTGTTGGGGGAGGGGGGGGAGTTGACAAGGGGTTAAAAGGGTGTGTTGCAGCGAATGGTCCATTGCCAGCATGAGGTCTTTGGAGGTCACTGTCGATGCGGGTGTAATGGAGGTGTTTGCAACTTTTCCTTTCCCTTTGTCTGCTGCCGTTTTGCCTCTCGTCCTTCCAGACCCGCCACTCCCCCCACCAACGCCGCTGCCACCGCCCGCCATAGTGTCGTGGAAGTAGAGGATGCAAGGACCAACAGCGCAGGAAAAGAGAAAATAAAATATCAGAAGAAGGAGGAGGAGAAGAAGAAGAAGAAGAAGAATTAGAAGGAGAAGAAGAAGAAGAAGAAGAAGTCTGTGAGGTTGTGAATGGGGCTGCTGTCTGCCCCCTTACGTCCTTTTTTTGGGGCAGGAAAAGAAAAACGCAGGCAATAGCGGGCAGTAGGATATGGCAGGCGGTACAATATGGCTGGCGGATGTGCGAGATGGTGGGCGGTAAGATATGGAGCAGTAAAAAGACGAGGAGGGAAGAAGAGGAGGAGGAGGAGGAGAAAGGAGGAGGAGGAGGAGGAGAGAAGAAGAAGGGAGGGGGAGGAGGAGAGAGATGAGGAGGAGGAGGAGGAGGAGGAGGAGGAGGAGGAGGAGAGAAGAAGATGAAAGGAGGAGGAGGAGGTGGACCTGCCGATTTTGAGTTGCGTTGACAGAAAAAGAAAACAAAAGAAAAAGATGACGAAGGAGGAGGAAGAGGAGGAGGAGGAGGAGAGAAGAAGAAGGGAGGGGGAGGAGGAGAGAGATGAGGAGGAGAAGGAGGAGGAGGAGGAGGAGGAGGAGGAGGAGGAGACGAGAAGATGAAAGGAGGAGGAGGAGGCGGACCTGCTGATTTTGAGTTGCGTTGACGGAAAAAGAAAACAAAAGAAAAAGATGACGGAGGAGGAAGAGGAGGAGAAAGGAGGAGAAGGAGGAGGAGGAGGAGAACGGAGGAGGAGGAGGAGGAGAGAAGAAGACGAAGGGAGGGGAGGAGGAGGAGGAGGAGAGAAGAAGAAGGGAGGGGGAGGAGGAGAGATGAGGAGGCGGAGGAGACAAGAAGAAAGGAGGAGGAGGACCTGCCGATTTTGAAGTGCGTTGATGGGAAAAAAAAAAAAAAGAAGATGACGAAGGAGGAGGAAGAGAAGGAGGAGGAGGAGAAAGGAGGAGGAACTCCGAACTTCGGCTGACACGTGGCGCGTGGCACTTCGACTGATAAAGAAAACTAACAAGGAGGAGGAGGAGGAGGAGGAGGAGGAGAGAAGAAGACGAAGGGAGGAGGAGGAGGAGGAGAAGGATCTGCCGGTTTCTTGATACGTCGACGAAAAAAAAAGAAAAAGAAAAGGATGACGAAGGAGGAGCAGGAGGAGCAGGAGGAGGAGAGAGAGAGAGAGAGAGAGAGAGGGAGAGCTGACACGTGGCACTTTGCGCAACGGTACCGTATCGACGACGACGGGCAGCGGCGGCGGCAGTGACGACGGGCACCTCGGTGATGGCGGGCAGCGACGGCCGTCGACGGCGGGAGCACGACCTCGACGAAGGCGGGCAGCAACGGGCGTCGACGGGGCGGGCAGCAACGGGCGTCGACGGCGGGAGTACTACGTCGGCGCGGCTGCACTTTGACCACACTACACTGGGCAGCGGCGGGAGCAACTCGATGCTTCGAATTCGAAGCTGGCGCGCGCCGAAAAATTTTGTGCAGGGGGGCAGGAAGGCTCCCAAGGCCCAGAAATGTCGAAACAGGCCTCCTCCCCCCCCCGCGCAAAAGTGCGCTGGGCCCGCACGGCATCGAACCGGGGGACCCGACCGGCCGGGCCGCCCGGGACCCCTGCCGGACGGAGGCTGGGCCGCCGGGCGGCCCGGAATTTAACACAGGTAAAACCAGCAAATTAATTATTTCTACTTTCGGATCAGTCACCAGCTTCTTGTAGCCTTGTAGTTGTATTAATTGAGTATCGGAGACAAAGGGCATACTCACACTAGTACTTTCCAAAATGCATCAGACCGCAATTTCGACCACACCTGTACGCATCTGGCCGCAATTCCATCCAGAAATAAGGAAGGAAGTCCTAGTGTGAGTATGCCCTAAGCTTGAAGATAAAATACCGTTGATTGCGTGTGTAACTGATTTTCTAGTGCCAATGGAGAACCATCTTCTGAGAAGGTTGCATGTGCACCAAGCGATATAGATACATAGATTAAACCAACAGTAGACGCCTGCCCCCGCAAAAAAAAAGTTATCAAGTGCACGGAGACCGACATGTCACTCCAGTAGCAATGCTACCAGAGGACATTGAATAAAACACCCTGCCGAACAAAACGAAGCCAAAAGAAAGAAAAAAAAGAATGTGATCAACCAAATGTGTGTGTGTGTGTGTGTGTGTGTGTGTGAGAGAGAGAGAGAGAGAGAGAGAGAGAGAGAGAGAGAGAGAGAGAGAGAGAGAGAGAAAGGGGGGGGTCAAGTTGTCATCATCATTGTAAAGGTGGTTGAGTAAGGGTTGTGGAAACTAAAGAATAGAACAAGTCAGGATGTTTTCTCTTCACAAACTGAAGGGACACGTCCCAAATACACTTTGCAACTTCTCTCTCTCTCTCTCTCTCTCTCTCTCTCTCTCTCTCAGAGCATGGGTGTGCTCTTTTTCTCAAAACCCCTTGCTTTGCATCTTTCTGGCCCCCATTCTCTCCCCCCAGCACAAACATGCACTCTCTTCCTCAACCCCTTGCTCTGGACGTGTCTCTTCATCCATCACGCATGTTCCATCCCACCTTATTGACAGCAATCAGGTTCTTTAATAACACAACAACAACAACAACAGAATTTCACAATACATGTACACTGCAGCCAAGAAGAAAGCTTGCCGCCTTCCGCTGTGCTGCTCGTCTCCACAGGCTCGCTGTCCTGAATCCAAGAAAGAAAATACCCTTCCTCCTGGCCTACAGCCACAGTAGCCCCCTACTCAACAAGCAAATTATCTCCTTCCTGACAAAATTCCACGAAACGCCTTTCTGCATGAACCTAAAGAACAGACCTCCCCCTCTTTCTAAACAAGTCAACGTTCACTATCACAGCTCTTCAGTGCAACTCTCATGTAAACTATGCCCATGGCATGATTCTCTCTCTATTCACGGCACGCTCCCAAGCTGCGCAGTATACCTCACTACCCTGTCGTCGTAAACACACCATCTGTTCTTTTCCCGCAAGCACTAGGGTTCAAAAAAAACTTGGTGACTTCCTTTTCTCCTACACACACTAGACTCTCCATTCATTACGAGTCAAAACCTGTCAGCGAAAACGTCTGGCGCGTGAATGCTACACACCAAGACAACGTAGTAGGCCACAAACCTGTTCTAGTAAAATCCATCTTCACTCATGCAACCTTTATCTATACCTCCCTCCGCACAACCATATGATGTCTTCGAATACATTTCGCCTTCGCCTCTAACCCTCGCGATGCCACATCCTTTCCCTCACAATACTTCCTCCGCCTTTCCGTGCCTGTGAGCTTCCCACTCCGCCCGATGCTGTTTCACTTTGTGCTCATCCCCCAACCTCCCCTGATCTCAGTTCACCCGCACCAAGAACCGACGTTCTCGTGAACTGCTGCTGAAATCCCCACTCCCTTGACTATGGTAGGCTCTCTTCTCTTCCTTCCCATGCAAAAACTCCCCTCCCTTCCATACTTCACGCGCGTGCACTGCATGTCTGTGTGCAAAAGGCACAGACAGCATCACACACTTCATGCATGCATGCACCCGTGTTGAAAAGGTAGATGGCAAGTGACATAGTTACACAACAGCCGATAAAAAGCAGCGCACGCTGCCCATGGCTCTTTTCCTTGTTCATGCAGAGAACCAGAGGCATAGATAGCAGCGAGACGAGTGCACACACCTGTGAATCGGGAGAGTCTATTGATGCTGGCAGGCAACCCCCACTGGGAGTAGGTGGTGAGCAAACAGGACGAACAGGTTGCACGCCAAACCAAGCCACCTCAACATGAACACCGGCAACAAATAGAAGCAGAAGAATACAAGTCTGGAAGGAATGAAAGACACAGATGTGGTGAAGCTTCATGAGGCTACCTCACTCTGCTGATTCAACTGCAGACCAAGGTTACAGTCCTTGCCACCGCTCATCGCTCCGTATTTCTCTTTTCTCTCTCACGTAAACACCTCCTCATCCAATTCACAACTCAACAACTGATGAGTGGCACACACACTGTCACACAGGGAGCAAGCAACAGGTTCCCTCCGGGGAGCTGCCGAACAGACTTCACCCCCCTCTGCAACCCCTCTTACGAGAACAGATCCTCCCTGTCGCCCTCGACCACCCCATGATCTGCCTCCTCAATCGTACTGAACTCCAAAAAGTGTGTCGGCCTGTGCAGTTCATGGTAGAACTCCTTCGGGGGTGAGAGCTTCAAACTGTACTTCATGGATGCAGAATGCCGGACGCCCATGAAGTTGTAGTTCCAGGAGCCAGTCTCAGGTACCATATAGAATCCCAGGAAACGATCACTTAGCAACATCTGCACCTTCTCGTAGTGGGTGGGCAGGTAGCCGTGAGGATTGCCGCCGCCGTCCTTGTTTTGCCTACCCCAGTCGTAGCCGCTTGGCGTAAGCTTGTAGGCAGCCAGAGAGCAAGACCCAGGCGTGAAACTACACGTGATGATGATACACTTCTCCCCGTCCCACGACTTCGTGGACTCCAGAACGCGTGCATGCATGGTCACATCCTGAGGCGATAATTGCGGCAGTTCGTTTGGCTGAGTATGCAGCCACCCAAGAGGCTCCATGTCCCTCAGGAAGTCGTGCTCGGGCAAAGCAGTGGGCAAATGAACCTGCTGGTGTGTCCCCCACTGAGGAGGCATAACCACACAGCGAATCTCCTTTACCTGAGGATTATCCGGGGGACTCACTCCATACAAGTACCCTGCGATCTGCGTTCTCAGATCCGCAATGCAGATGAACTTCTTCAACACGTTCTTGGGCATGATGTACGTGTACCCAGTCTCCCGGAGGTCGTCCGAGTTAACGTAAATGTGGTTGACCCTGAGGTACAAGTTCGTGGCAGAGATGGCACGCACCCTCCAGTCTGTCTTTGACGCATACGCAGCCTGCTCGTACGGACTTGTCGTAGTTACGATGAGCTCATCGCCATGCACATTGGTGGTCCTCGTAGTCACTGCCGTCAGCTGAGACGCCTCCTTTGCCTGCTTCTCGATCTCAGCGATCTGCTGACGCTGTTGCGATGGTGGCGCGATTTCCGCACCCAGAATGATATCCCTGATCTCGGACTGTGTGAGGGCGCTCACGTTCACATTGTTCTTCTTTGCATAGTCCGCCAAGATGAGATCTTTCAGTGCCACTTCAACCTTGATCCATTGCTCATCAGTCAGGCTCGGCCAGATGTGGTGCGCCTCCGTGATGATTGTTTTGTCAGGCCGCAGCAGCATCTTCGCCTTCTCGTTGTTGACATGCAGCGCACGAAGGATGAGGATGAGCCTCGAGAACGCAGTATAGGACGAGATGGTCTTCAGCCAGTCATCGTAAATGTTGAAAAGCACCATCTGCGGCTCCGTCGCCTTTAAAATGAGGTCACCAAACTTCTCTATCTTCAAGCAGGCTTGGAACGGAAGCTGCAGCTCACTGCCCTTGATGACAATATTCGGAAAATCGAGCAGATGCACCTCCAGGGGATCGAGCATTCCCTTTCGGGTAACAATGATCTGCTTGGGCTGTTCTTCTACAGGCAGAGACCTGACCAGAGCAGCCACTTCTTCTGCCGTCTTCCACTTTGCCAGCTGCCCTAGACGCTTCTGCCCCGCCCACACGCTGGTGTGAATGATCTTCAAGAACAGCTGGCCCGTGCGGGGGTTGAAAATGAAAATGGCCCCGTTGATGGGCTTCGTCGTAAGGTTTCCCTCAAAGGTCTTGTGAATTGTGACTCTGTACACGTTGGTGTCATCCACGAACCAGATGATTTGATTGCTGAAGAGTTCTCCATAGTTCTGAGAAGACAGGTACGGCTCTGTGGGCTCTGAAGAATACAGCTGCAACCCCTTGCGAATACGCTCCCGCAGGACGTAGAGCGCTGGATTGGCCTTCATGATCTTCGCCATAGCCTGTGCCAGCAGCGGCTTCATACCCGGGAACCAGTTACCATAGGCAGAGTGCAGGTTGTAGGCAAGATCGATGCCAATCATCACACCTGTCGGCGATGGATAAATGGACATGTTGTCAGTTGTGTAATCCAGGAACTTCGCACGTGTGTATCTTTCAATGTCATGCGAGTCGTAATCACCCCAGCGGAGCTGCACATCAATCCAGTACTTGTTGCTGGCTTTCTGATCGAACACGTCCTTGGTCTCCGCAACAAGGCTGGGCTTGGACATTTGCCACTTGTAGGCGGCGAACAGCAGGATGTCAGCGCAGGAACTGTTCATCTTGTAACTCTTACGAGGATGGATCGTCTCCTTCTGAACGGTTTCAATCTCCAGTGCATCAAGCTCCTGGTCCAGAACCTGGCACAGATCCATGACAACGCTCTCGTGAATCTTTTGCCACAGATGGGCTCGGAAGATCTGAATGAGTGAAATCTTCAAGGTGGGGATCTTGCCATGCATGAAGATGCCCGTAAGATCCAGCTGGACCTGAAATCCGACGTACACATTAGCTCGGTTAATGGTGGGTGACCACCAAAGAGTGAACCGACGATTGGGAATCTGGTTCAGACCAGACCTCTGCGCGTTGGTAAGCTTCTTGTACTTCATGGACTCTTCGAAACCTGACGCCTTCTCCCAAAACAGACCCTCCCAAGTGGGGAAATAGGTACCCTTGAACAGGGTGTGTTCCAGGATACCCTCAACACCTCCAAGGGCCTGAATGACATCAGTACGGTAGTTGTTCAGGTTCCACAGCTTGCCGTCGTGGCGCTGATGGGTCCACCAAAAAGGATTCTGCTTCAGGACCTGGTACTGCTTGAAGTCAGTCCGAACGCGCCATCCCTTGTCGTACGCAAGCGTATGGCGATCCTTCTGAAACAGCGTGTTGATTCTGGGAATTCCGCGGTCCCAAGAGTCTTCCAGATCTTCAAGAGTTAGACGCCGATTCTGTGCTTGTGCCTCCGAGCGCTTCAAAGCATACTCCGCCCACACCCGCTGGCTGTCCACAAACTCAGATTCCCAGGGCTGGATGTATCGGTACAGATTTGGAATAAGCTGATCCTCCTCGTGGCTCATACCAGAACGGAAATGGGTGACACCCACGTCAGTCTGCCGACTGTACATGCGATCACTCTGTGGGACAAGGATATGCCCCATGGACAACATACCAAGTCCACCAATCTCCTTGGGAGTGTAGAAGACAACAGGAGGGAACCGAGAAGGCATCTTGGAGTTCAGACCAATCTTGATCCTGGTCTGGATCTTGTTTTCACACTTGACCAGGAGGTCCAGGAGCTCCTCGGTGTGAACCGTCGCCTCTCTGAAGTACGTCATCAGCCCAATGAGCGCTGTGTTCCACTTGTTCGCAATCTTGGTGAACGTGGTGGACCCGGAGGACATCAGGATCTGCCGAACGCGGTTCTCAAAGACCTTCATGTGCTCGTCGTCAACACGAAGGAAGGCCTGTGCAGTCCGCTCCTTTGTCGACTCGTTCTGGAGATTCCATACACCATCCTTATGCCCAAAAGCCTCCTGCTGCATGCGGCACTTGGGGAGTATGCGCACCTCAAACCCGCACATGCTGAACAACAAATTTGGGTTATCACGACTATACACAGAGACAAAGCTGTTGTCCCAGTCAAGACTAGTGACACTGCGAGGCAGACGATTCCTCACTTCCCAGAAGACAGCTCGCCCAAGATTGACGTCATGTTTCATCAGCCGCATGCGAGCATCACGGGGCCAACACTTCTTATTGTTGTACCCAACAATGTTCTCGTTGTTCGGATCAGGGTGCTCCGTCAGATACCTCTGGATAAGGTCTCTGGCCTCATCATGCGTAAACCGAAATAGAACATGCACTCTGTCAATGTACCTCGAGTAGAGGCGGATTGGATGACGGACCTCAGTCTTCACCTCCCGGAAGGTCAAAAACTCATTGGGCAGCTGAGGAGGACCTGCAATCTCACTGGCCCTCGTCAGACCCAGGACCAGCAGGTCCAGCACAAGTCCATAATACTGTACTATGAACGAGGCGAACTGCAGACCACGGATCAGACCATATGAGTTGGTATGACTCATATCCTTGTACGACAAGATGACATTGTTCTTCGCAGTCATGTAGTCCGCAAGATTGTGATCTAGCACAAGACGTAGAAGTCTGTTCAGCATTGTCAGATCGACCTTCTCGAACATCTTCTCAAAACGAGTCTGCAGCATCACCACGCACTCACCCTCCGACGTGTCCCAAATGTCCTGCAAGTTGTTTATCCCTTGGCACCACTTATAGACCAGGAGCGGAGGTGGCTCCGAATCCGCCGGCTTCACCCAATTGGGGAACAAGTGCCGCTTGTCGCCCTCGTACCACAGGTACTGGTCGAGATACGCATCCGTGATCTTCTCCAGAGGCTCCACTTCGTACACCGGGATCAGATGACTGTACAGGTCAAAGAACTCAATGTTGACCTCCTTGAAGGCACGCTGAGTCAGCAGATGACGCTTGATTCTACTCAGCGCCTCGTGTGGATTGTCATACGCCTGCTCGATCAATCCCAACTCCTCCCTCTGCTGTTGATTCAACCTCACCGACACACTGTACGGCTCTTTCAGTCGCTCCAACGCCAAAATCAGCAACTTTGTGTCGTGCTTGTAAGATAGGGGAGGGAATGGAATGGGAGAGAACTTCCTCGACTCCAACCAATGCACGGTTGTTGTGTAGATAGCCACTGCTTCCTCGAACGACACATAAGGCCCATCCTTCAGGTAGTTGTGCTGGCGTTCCTGCTCTGCCTTCAACCATAGCCGAGTCAAACGGCCAAGATTCTTCCGGCAGACTGTCTTGTCCACGGTAGCTCCGCGACGAATACGCTCACGGTTATAGTGAGCCACATTGGTCCACCAATCAGCTTTTGATTTCACATAACGGAGGATCATGTTTTCAATCGGCGCAGGAAGACCTGGGACCTTCCAGGGAATGTTTGCTTTCCAACAACGCCATGCCTCACTCAAATGTTGCAGAATAGTCCGTGCCTTGTTTTGTTTGATGCCTGTGACATTTTACGACATAGCACAAAACAACAGCATTATGAGAATAGTGACATCGTACAGCATGTCCAGTTCCAAATACACAACCCACAGAACACAGGAGCAAACGACCCAAGTAAAACATAAAGCCGGCTCGTGCTACATAAATTGATACAGCTACTCGGTTTCTTCTTCTGTTTCTCTTTGCCAACGATGATTACAAGCAGGAATAGATGTTGCAGCTTCTCTCTCTCTCTCTCTCTCTCTCTCACACACACACACACACACACACACACACACACACACACACACA